CAATCACCATCAATGCATCCATCACTAGAAACTGGATTGAGACGAGCTGCAGAGCTAGTGGCTTCCCAAATCTACCCTTGAAAAGCGAAAGTGTTAGTCGCTCAATCGTGTCTGACTCTTTGCAACCCCATGGACTGTAGCCCATCAAGCTCCTCTGTCCATGGAATTCTCCAGGCATGAATACTGAAATGGGTGGTCATTCCCTTCTCCAGGGGATCTTCCCAACCCAGGGATTGAACCCAGGTCTCCTGCATTGCAGGCAGATTCTCTACCATCTGAACTTCCCTAACCCTCTGATAATTAAGCATATTTAATCTACTGAAGAGCCTAAAGAGTTATGGCCCTCCCCTCCTCTGTAAACACCCAGCCCATTAAATCCCAGCATTAAAGTTCCCTATTTTATTTCCTCTTGAATTTCATGACACCAACCAGTAGGCAGGAAACAGACCATTACAAAATTAACCAGAAAATTATTCCTTCAGTCTGGCATCACCCATTTCATTCATTATTATTCCTCTCATGCACAACTGAGACTTCTGTAAGGAAATTACAATGACTTCGTGCAGTGGGCCAGTCTCTGGCAGACGAATGTGTGAAGTGACGGAGAACGAAGATGTCTGGGCATATATAGTATTGCTCACATGTGAGCCTGTCCTGTCTCTTCAAGAGTACTCTGGCGATCACAAGATACATGAAGATGATACAGCAGACAAGCTTCCACTGTGAAACATACCAATCTCATTCCTAACCCAGACTCCTTTCCCTTGCTCTGCCCTCTGCCTGGAATGCCCTTCCCTCAGAACTTCCCATGGCTGTCTCTCTTACTATTCAGCTCAAATGCCACTCTCCTGGAGAGGCTCCCAGCCAGTCTGTATACAGCAGTGGTGTCCAGTCAGTCAGTCATGTCCCACTCTTTGTGACCACATGGACTGCAGCACGCCTGTCTTCCCTGTCCTTCACTATCTCCAGAGTTTGCTCAAACTCATGTTCATGGAGCCGGTCATGTCATCCAACCATCTCATCCTTTGTTGCCCCCTTCTCCTCCTTCCCTCAACCTTTCCCAGCATCAGGGTCTTTTCCAATGAGTTGGCTCTTCACATATACATATGTATATTCTCCTATACATACTATGTACTGTAGTATCCCAGAACTTATTTCACCAACCAGTCCCTGTATCTCATTTCACATTTTAATTTTTTTTCATGGCATTTATTGCTACCTAAAGTATATATAGTCATCTATTTACTTATGTCTCCCTCACAGGTCTGTAAGCTCCCAGACAGCAGAGATTATTTTTTTAAACATGTTGTCTTGAATATAGTAGCAGACCTTTAATAAACATTGGTGGTATAAACAAGTGAGAAACACTTAGTTATCCCATGTCTATTACATGCCAGTTCTGTTCCAGGCACTGGGGATGTGGTGCTGAATCAAGCAAATCCCACTTTTTAATCTCTTGGACTTTATATTCTAATGTAGGGATACAAATGGCAAACAAATAAAGCAGGGTAAATGATTCTGCCTGGGTGGGGTTGTGCCGCTTTAGTGGAGTGATCAAAGGAAGGTCTTGCTGCAGAGACCTGCAGAAGATGAGAAGGGAGACACCTGAACAAGATGAGGAAGGTAAGAAGGGAAAAAGAGCAGGAAGTGCAAAGGCCCTGAGCCAACAGTAGGGGGAGCAGAGGGTAACCTGGTTAAAGCAAGCAAGAAAAAGTGTAGCCGCTTGTATGTGCTAAGTTGCTTCAGTGGTGTCCAACTCTTTGCGACCCCATGGACTGCAGTCCACCAGCCTCCTCAGTCCATGGAATTTTCCAGGCAAGAATACTGGAGTGGGTTACCATTTCCTACTTCAACCTGGGTCTCCTGCTTTGCAGGCAGATTCTTTACCATCTGAGCCACCAGGTTAAAGCAAGAGTTCATGGGAAAGTGGTAAGGGCCCTGAGAGGGTTGCCCAGGTGGTGCTAGAGGTAAAGATCCCAGCTGCCAGCAGGAGACATAAGAGACCCAGCTTATATTCCTGGGTCTAAAGAACCCTGGAGGAGGGCATGGCAACCCACTCCAGTATTCTTGCCTGGAGAATCCCATGGATGGAGGAGCCTGGAGGGGTCACAAAGAGTTGGACACGACTGAAGCTTAGCACGCATGCTGGTCTGAGGGGTCCTAGTGGGGTAGCTTTGATCTAGTGGAGTACTGTAAGCAATAAAAGGACTTTGGTTCTTACTCTTTGGTGCGATGAAAAGCCAGTGAGGGGCTCTGGACAATGACATGATCTGACTTAGTTAAAATAGGATCCCTCTTTTGTTTCTGGTGATAAAAGACTGTAGGAGGCAAAGGTGGAGGCAGTTAGGAGTCCAGTGGGTGACTTGGTCCCAGGTGGTGGCTAGGAGGTGGTGAAACACTAATAGCCTGGAAGAATTCTGAGGGCAGAACTGACAGGATTTGCTGATAGGAAGAGGAACAAAGAAATGATACAAAAATATGTACAGAATTGATACAAAGAAGGCTTTTCTTGGATTTAGGAAAAAGAGACTGGTTTCTTTAGGGCTTTGACACTGATTTAACAAAGAGCACAGCCGCCTAGAAAATCAGCATTGGAACTTACTTGGAACTTCTGTGTCAGCTATTATTTATACCCAAGAACAAACAAAAAGAGAGTGGTCAAATATATTCAGTATCAGAATCTGTCCTTGCAATTAAGTGCCCTGATTTGGGGCTTGATCTTATTTCAGCACACTGACATGAATGAGATAATTGTTCAGCAGACATAAACATTTCAAAGTAAAAATGACACTTATCCGTGAGGAGACTGTAAAGCTCATTGGGTAGTTACACAAAAGGGAAACATTATAATCAAGAACAAAGATCTTGCCTGATTTATACTGATTGATAGTCTGTGCTTTACACTGATCTGATAAACTGCTCAGACTTCTAACTCTGGCCTACCCAGCTACACTGAAAGCTCTTTGGAGCGTATTCAACCTTGCATTCTTCTACCTGGTGTGGCCAAACAGCTGGTGCACAACAAATATCCACTGACTTCATGATTTGCCAACAAAGGTCTATATAGTCAAAGCTATGGTTTTTCCAGTAGTCATGTATGGATGTGAGAGCTGGACCATAAAGAAGGCTGAGCGCTGATGAACTGATGCTTTCAAACTGTGGTGTTGGAGAAGACTCTTCAGAGTCCCTTGGACTGCAAGGAGATCAAACCAATCAATCCTAAAAGAAATCAACCCTGAATATTCACGGGAAGGACTGATGCTGAAGTTGAAGCTCTCATTCTTTGGCCATCTGATGCAGAGCCGGCTCATCGGAATAGACCCTGATGCTGGGAAAGACTGAAGGCAGGAGAAGAAGGGGATGGCAGAGGATGAGATGGTTAGATAGCATTACAACACAATGGACATACGTTTGAGCAAACTCTGGGAAATAGTGAAGGACAGAGGAGCCTGGCGTTGCTACAGTCCATGACGTCGCAAAGAACCTGCCATCACCTAGCCACTGAACAACAAAAAGAACACCTCCTTCACTAGCCTCTCTTCCGTCCTCTTTCTGGAGTGCTCAGGAGTACTTTATCTGCCAAAGTCAGAAATCTGATAATCACTCAGAAATGCGAAATTTCCTATTGTGTTTGGCCTTAGGGTACATGGGAGGAGACACCCGAGGCCCACTCGCCTGAGAAGTCAGGGAAGGCTTCCCGGAGGAGGAGACTGTGTGCTGCATTGTGAAGGGGGCAGGAGTTACAAGACCAAATGAGGTCCAGAGAAGGCCTTCAAATGCACAAGGGCCTTGAGACTAGAGGGAACTCGGAAAGGGCTGAAGGGAACGACCCAGGCTCGACGGACAGCAGGGGCGCAAGGACATTTGCGAGAATAAAGACGCAGGGTTTGAAAGGTAGGTTTTCTAAATTCCCTTAGATCTTCAAAAGCTCCGACTGCATACAGCCATTCACCCAGTGCTGCGAGGGCCCCGGAGACGGGGCTTTCTCTTAGGCCTCACCTTGTACGCCTCTTCAACCTGGCCTCGAAGGGGAGGGCAAGCGGGGAGGAGACCGCGACGGCCACCCAGAAGGGAACGTGCCCCGAAGTCCCCCTCTTTGCCATTTCAGCCCGTTTCCTCCAGTTCTGAGGTCTCTTAAGAGTTTGCCTTTTGGCCCAGAAAACAAATTACAGGAGAGCAGGATACCGAGGTTAGCTTCTTGTTTCCAGGATTTTTTTTTCGAGGTTACTCGTACACGCGAACAAAATCTAGCTGCCTCTGGGCCGGGGGCGGCCCCACCACCTCTCCAGGTTTTTTGGTTTTTCTCTAGAACTTTCAACAACGCGACAACCGGTGTGTTTACAGCGCCACGGTTCCAGTGTTTCAAGCGGCTAGTTTCTGGGGGAAAGGGGTGGCCAGGCACTTCTACTCCCCGGGTTGGGGGAACTGGAAAGTTTACGTGTTTCTTCCACAGTCCCCGGGTGCAGTTAGGAGAGGAGCGGGCGCACCGGACTGCCCCTGCAAAGAAGGCTCGTCTTCCCTAGAGGCCGGGCCCAGGACCTTCCACTTTGGAAGAGAAAGAAAGTTGGGCGGGAGCGGGAAGGCGCTAGAGTGAGGGGCGACGGAGCGGTAGGGAAGTCGGGGCCCCCGGGCTGCGCGCGAGCCCGGGTGGAGTCAGCCGCCGGCCGCGGCGTCAGCGTTTAAGATGCAAATCGATTCCCCGCTCCACCTCCCCCTCCCGCCCAGGGAGCGAGGCTCCGCCGCTCCGCAGCCGCCCCCGCCTCCTGCGCGCCGCGGCGCCCCGGCGGGCGGCTCTACTTAAGCGGCGCGCCGGCTTCCACCCGGCACTCCCCTGGAGCGCGCGGGCGAGGCGGGCGGAGCGCAGCGGGGCTCGCGGGGGCGCACAGCGGCGCGCTCGCCTCGTGCGCTCGGCTCCGCGCGGCTCTCGGCTGCAGCCAGGGTGCACGGCTGAGCGAGCGTCCGGGAAAGGCGGCGGCGGCGGCCCCGGCCACCTCTTGGCCATGGCTCTGGCCGACAGCACTCGTGGATTACCCAACGGGGGTGGCGGCGGCGGCGGCAGCGGCTCCTCGTCGTCCTCGGCGGAGCCGCCGCTCTTCCCCGACATCGTGGAGCTGAACGTGGGCGGCCAGGTGTATGTGACCCGGCGCTGCACCGTGGTGTCGGTGCCCGACTCGCTGCTCTGGCGCATGTTCACGCAGCAGCAGCCGCAAGAGCTAGCCCGGGACAGCAAAGGCCGCTTCTTTCTGGACCGCGACGGCTTCCTCTTCCGCTATATCTTGGATTACCTGCGGGACTTGCAGCTCGTGCTGCCCGACTACTTCCCCGAGCGCAGCCGGCTGCAGCGTGAGGCCGAGTACTTCGAGCTGCCCGAGCTCGTGCGCCGCCTCGGGGCGCCCCAGCAGCCCGGCCCCGGGCCGCCGCCGCCGCACTCCCGGCGCGGGGTGCAGAAGGAGGGCTCGCTGGGCGACGATCTGCTGCCGCTCGGCTCCGCCGAGCCGGAGCAGCAGGAGGGCGCCTCGGCTGGGGCGCCGTCGCCCACGCTGGAGCTGGCTAGCCGCAGCCCGTCCGGGGGCGCGGCGGGCCCGCTGCTTACGCCGTCGCAGTCGTTGGACGGCAGCCGACGCTCGGGCTACATCACCATCGGCTACCGCGGCTCCTACACGATCGGGCGGGACGCGCAGGCAGACGCCAAATTCCGGCGAGTGGCGCGCATCACGGTGTGCGGCAAGACGTCGCTGGCCAAGGAGGTGTTCGGGGACACCCTGAACGAGAGCCGGGACCCCGACCGGCCCCCGGAGCGCTACACCTCGCGCTATTACCTCAAGTTCAACTTCCTGGAGCAGGCCTTCGACAAGCTGTCCGAGTCGGGCTTCCACATGGTGGCGTGCAGTTCCACGGGCACCTGCGCCTTCGCCGGCAGCACCGACCAGAGCGAGGACAAGATCTGGACTAGCTACACCGAGTACGTCTTCTGCAGGGAGTGAGCTCCCCGCTCCCCTGGCGACTCCAGCGCGCCCGTTCCCTCCTGTCCTTTTTGCCCTGGAGGGGACTCTAGATTTCCCCTCCGACCCACCACGTTCTCGCGTTCCCCTGTTCCCCACGTCCCGTAGACCCACTGCCCCCTCACTTTACAGGCTAGAGCCGCAGAGCCTCTCGGCTTCTTGTCTTCTCCGGACCCCACTGAAAGAGCCCAGGCGTACCCCTCCACCCCATGTTTCCTCTGCCTCCGGCCCCAAACCAGCCCTCCCCCCGAATTGTCCTTCGGGCTGGATCCAGTGGCGGGTGGGGCAGTTTGGCCACAAAGTCACCGAGTAGCCGGGAATGGCTGAATTGTCCCGACCCTGATTGGACCCTGTCCACTTGTATAGAAGATTCCTTGAAATCTTCTCAAAGCCCTGATGACTCACTCACGGTTTAAGAGACTTGGTAGCACTCTGGGAATAGTTTAGTTTCGAAAGGTCATTCATTACGCAGTCTTTTGACCTTCTTTAAAGGTAGAGTTTTAGAAGGCTGAACGGAGGACTCCGGAGCGGGAATGAGTTCAGTGCGGAGGCAGTTCAGTGACTCCACGTGAAGAAAGTTCTGAACGGTTACAGGTAGAAGTAGGAGAAGAATCTCGTGCTGGCTCTATGGAGGAGCCTCCATAGATTTAAAGGAGGATTTAAAGATCTCCGCCTGTGGCTTAAACTTTCAGGAAGTTCCCCTCCTGCCTGAGGAGGCACCCTTTCTCCTGGGCTCAGCGCCCGAAGCCCTTGGTTTTCGACCGCTTGACATGGCAGCCTTTATTGGCAAGAAGGGGAAAGAGAGCAGGACAGCCCAGGTCACCAAGCACTGCTGTGACTGCCAACTCAACTGGGTGGAAACGCACGTCGTGGGTGTTAGGAAAGCCCGTATTCTTGCAGTGAATGGCGCGGTAGTACCTTAGCTCTTAAGACTTAGGGGGTAGGGTGGGGAGGGAGGAAGGAAGTTAAGAGGGGTGGGAAAGGGGGGAGCAGATACACTCATTTATTGTTTGACAGTTGGAAGTTTGTACCATCCGTCTGAGTACATGCACATTAACAAAATAGTACACAAGAAACAAGCAGAGCGTTTTGTAAAGATCAATCACAGATCTCCTCTTACCTGGCAGTTGATTGAACTAACTGTTTTGAGTCCTAAACTTAGAAGTTGCTGATACTTATATAACCTAACCAAAGAGTTACCCAGTAGGGTTTTAGTTTTTGAACTTTTATTTTTTGTTGTTGATTATAAGTCCTGATTTTAAAATCTTATTACCTTGAGCAAAATATGTTTGAGTTACTTGGATTTAGTTTTCTTATTAAAAAATCCTTATTTTCTCCAAGCCCAGCCAATGTTGACTTCTGGGCAAACCTGAACATGCCCTTTTGATGCAGGTGGTTTGAAGTGAAGGTGAGTCTTTCCAAATGACAGAGCTGCAGAGAAGTAGAAATGCTGAGGGCTGCCATCTGTAGATAACTGGAAGGTGGGAATATTTTTAAATGAAGGTAAATAAGTACTTGAAAGTGAGCTGAGCAATAAAATGGTGTCCCAGGTAAATGCAGCTGGAGCAGGAGACCTGGTTGCCTTATACCTTTACTCTACCATGGAATAAATCCCCACTGTATATCCTATCTACACTGTAAGTGAAGGGAAATGAATCCTTGTCTTTCATGCTGTCAGGCTCCTTTGGATATTCTGTGATTAAGGAGAAGCCTTTCCTTTTTCATTTGTTTCAGCATCATTCTCTGAAGTATGTTTTTAAAAGATTTTTTAAGTCTTTTCAGTGTTGAAATTAGCGCTATTTTTTTCTTCTTTTTAAAAATGAATCTTGTACTGTATCTTCTTATATGTCCATAACAGATGTTAAGAATTGAAACAGTTTTATTCTTAGTCTCATGTGATCCATTCTGTATATATCATATATAAACATTTTACACGAATCATTTAGTTTTTTAATTCATTTACTAAATGCTATAAACTTTCCTGTATTTACCCCAGTAACTAGCATCATATGGTGTATATACTAAAGCAACATGCTTTGATAAGTTTCTTATATCTTTGTCTATGGGGAAATTAGGTTAGGAAAAAAGGCATAATTATAAAGCTGCATTTGCTCCATTCTTTTTGCTTGGCTATTAGTTGTATTCTAATATGTTGATTAACTATCTTTGTAAACCAAGGTACCTGTATTTTTAATCCACTAATTCTTTTCTTTTTTTATTGAGGGAGAGAAGGACTTGAGGTGTTTTCACTGGAGGTTCATTTTTAGAAAAGTAAAGTTAGCTTTATATACAAAGACTGTAATTTTAAAGGAAGCAGAAACAGAAATTCAGGAAGTCGTATTTGCTGGTGTTGAGCATGTTCTCAGACTAGGTAACACATTAGAACATACCCCTGTTTCAAACCTGAAATGATTTAGGAATGTCACCCACCCGCTGGCCAAAAGTGAGTATCCCAGAGATTTCTGTACCCCATGTGGTCTTCTGTATTGTGCAACAGAAAGCATATAATTGAGAACATCTTGGGGACAGATCAAAGCCACTGACATATGGCAAGACTCTGAGCTTCTGATTTTCCTTGTTAAATCTGCTCAACTCCAGGAGTCACGGGAAGCTGCTCAAGTTTTGTCTCTGCTATTCAAATCTAAAAAGTTTAATCTTGTAAAACTTTGAGTTGACTGTTCCACTGCTTGGCAAAATTTTACTCCTTCCAAACATCTCTGATGGCCTGCAGGTCTCCCCTACTTCTTCCATTAGCTGAAAAACTGGGAATTGAACCGTTAGAGACAATAAACTGACCTCTTTTCATATGATGACTGTCCTCTCTAAAGTTGGAAGTTGTTACGTGAAAAATTCTATCTTCAACCCAAAGTAAAGGCTGGGTAGGAAACTCATGTTTCCCTTGGGTGGACACTGTAACTGAGGTAAGATGATTTGGCCACTGCCCTTTTGGGTCTTTTATTCACCATGTGCTTTGAGCCATGGAAGGACCCTTAGTGGTCTACATCGCGGACTGGAGTGTTGATTGTCATCTGTAGTTTGGATGAGATTCTGAGGGTACGTGTGAGTAAGCCCTCCAAAGACATTCAGTAACTTGGAAGGGTCACAAATTATTCAGAAATTATGACTGCATTCATCTGACTCAGTGCAGTATGTATTTACATATGTAATGGCTCAATTACCATTTGGTCCATAAATACTACTGAGATTTTAATAACAAATTTAACTTTTTGAAAAAGAATAGTTGACAGTGGTGGTTAGAAAAACAGGTACCATGTCCAATGCTCTTGCACCAAGTGTATGACAAATTGTCTGTTTTTTTAATACATGTAGAACTGTGATCCATGTTCATTTTAATTTTTCATATGTGTTTTGGAAAATACCCCTTGAATGTATGAAACTTAAATTTTTTTCCCTTTCAGTACGATTCTTATTCTTGTGTTTTATTTGGTTTTGGTGTTGATAGCAAAGTAATTTGTATTAATACTAGCCCAAATTGTCTTCTCTTTCAAACCAGATCCGTATAAATAATATAACCTGTTGCTTCTCTGGGGAAATGCATAATCTGAATTCCCAAACAAAATGGGCAACTGGCAGTGCTCATGACACATTTCCATTTTTATTAGATTTTTTCCTTGTAATGTTACTACATTAAAGCCATGTAAGTTGAAGCTTTGATAATTTTTTACTTTTCAGATTATGGTAAATTCTAATCTAATACTCAAAAAACAGTTTTGTACTCCACATGAAAAATGCTAAATGATAGTGCAGGTATTTAGAAAAGTATTGACTGGGGTTGAATTCCCTAAGAATTTCTTTTATAATCTAAATCATAAGTACTTTACTCAATTGACTTAAATTTTTTATTGTAAACTGAATGTTTTTATTCTAAACTTACCAGAGTAAATTCTTTGGATTTTTTTTTCCTGTTTTTCCTTATTATAACTCATTTAAAAACTGAATTAGTTTTCTTAGATGACCTAAATCTCTCTCTTGAGAAATAAAATATTCTTCTGTTTCCAGTGGCTATGGTACCTAAAATAAACCTTCCTAAAGCCAGAAACATGCTATGTTGAAGTTAACTTTTCTTCGTCACAATTTTGGACAACAAACAACTAAAAGGATTAATGTTTGAAGATTAATATTCTCTACTGGGACAGTTGAAACTTCGATGGAAGAAATTCAACCAGAATATTTATATTACAGTATAATCTCGTGTGGTAGGAAGCTGAACTAGTTGATCAAGAATTCTTGTCACCTTAGTCATTTTGTGATTTTTTTTCCCCCAAGTTTTTAAAAAAAAATTAAATATGTTGAGGTATATGGACATAATTGTAATGTAAACTATTATACAACTGTCTTTGTGACTTCATAGGCAGGTGAATTTTGCTATTACTGTTGAATACAAATGACAGTTCATTTATAATCACTCAAATGGCATTTGTGACATTTAATGACAAAGGTTAAAATATCCATTATGGATGTTAATTTTGAAGTTATAAATTACGTGTTATTTAAGTTTTTCTGGGCATCTTAAAAACTCTTATCTGGGAGACAATGTAAGATTCCCACAGAATTACCTGGGATTAGGAAATTGTTGAACATGTTATATGCTCAGTGATATGAATCACTGAGCCATTTCCTCAGTGATTGACGGAGAAAGGGGGATAAAAATCATCGTACCATTACCAGACTTTCTAACAAAACAGAAAGCCAAGGAAAGAACAGTCCTTCTATATTTTAAAAACTGACGAAGTTCTTTTCAGACATGCCCAAACTTAAAGTGAGAATTTCTTCCACTATCTAAATATTCTAGAAATTTTGGTTCTCTCTGTTCACAACCAGTTGTATAACAGAAATACTGGATACTGTTTTCCTCCCTGTGTGTGAAGTAATGAATCATTGATTATGTGACTTGTTATGTATTCTATTAAACACTAAAGAATAAAACATCTACTCCTTTAATTATTCCTCTGGGCTCCAGG